CAAGATTACTCTACCCAGCAAGGTTATTCAGAATTGAAGGGCAGATAAAGAGCTTCACAGATAAGAAAAAGCTAAAGGAATTCATCACCACCAAACTACTATTATATGAAATGCTAAAAGGTATTCTTTAAGAAGAGGAAGAAGATGAAAAAGGTAAAGGTAAAAATTATGAACAACAAATACATATTTATCAACAAGTGAACCTAAAAATCAAGTGAATTAAAAATCTGAGGAACAGAATATACTGGTGAATATAATAGAATCAGGGGCATAGAAAGGGAGTGGACTGATAATTCTCAGGGGGCAAGGGGTATGGGAGGTGCAGGAAGAAACTGGACAAAAATCGTACACCTATGAATGAGGACAGTGGGAAGGGAAGGTAAGGGCAGAGTGTGAGGTGGGAACCGGGTGAAGGGGAGTTATGGGAGAAAAAAGGAGAAACAACTGCAATAATCTGAACAATAAATATCTATAAAATCAATCAAAGTAAAAAGAAAAATAGTCTTTACAAAAACCCATTAAGATTTGGTGGCTGAAAGGATTATGTTCCTTTTCTAGGCCTGATGTGGCTAAAAAAGTTGTTTATATCTATATCAATAATGGCTTGCAAAAATTATCTGAAGAGGATTTTGCAATTGGTCTTGTTGATGAAAAAGACTTTAATGTTATAATAGGTATAGTTTTTAGTCAACTCTGAAACAGGAGAAGCTTTGATAGCTCAGCCACTTCATCTGAAGTGATTTTTTAAAATAATCATTACTGAAACAAAGGCTTATTTTAAGAATCATTTGAGCAAAATGGGCAGGCATGTCAAGAGCTTAATGATAGAACCCTGCCCTCCCAAACACAGTTTCAGGAAATTGTGATCTCTCATAGAAAGTGGAGGTTTTCAAACATGTGAATTAAGTGCTCATTAAAAATAATTTTTTTTGGAAGAACATGAAACACAATGTTAATGGGGGTTATCCTATCTAATTAAAGAGTAATAGGCAAACTAACCATCATTCCACTACACCCACAAGCCATGCCCACCAGCCAATCAGGAGCAAATATGCAAATAAACCCAACCAAGATGACTACAGCCACAGAGAGCAGGGGGGAGGCTTGGGTTTCCCCAGCAATGAAGCCAAGCTTTCCACACACCTTGGCTAGCCCAGGCCTCCACTCCAGGCTACAAAGTTTCAATTATAGAAGATAGATAAATCCCAACAGAAATGGGTGCTGCCATGGAGCAAGCAGGAGGCGTGGCTTCACTCAAGGCTACAAAATTTAAATTGTAGAAGATAAATAAGCCCCAGATACTAGTGCCTCCCATTGGGTCACCAGGGGGCATGGCCAGCCTGCAAACCACCACTGGTGCCTCGTCCAGGACACCCCATACCGCAGGGGAACCCCCACCCTGATGTGGAACATCCTTCAGGGCAAACCAGCTAGCCACCCACCCATGCACCAGGCCTCTATCCTATCTAATAAAAGAGTAATATGCAGATTGACCATCACTCCAACATACAAGATGGCTGCCCCCATGTGGTCAAAGATCCTGCTCCCATGTAGACACAAGATGGCCACCACAAGATGGCCAGCAGGGCAGTTGAAATAGACCAGGCCTGCAAGGGAAGGCAGTTGCAGGTGATCAGGCCAGCAGTGGAGGGCAGTTAGGGGCAAACAGGCTGGCAGGGGAGCAGTTAAGCATCAATCAGGCTGGCAAGGGAGCAGTTAAGCATCAATCAGGCTGGCAGGGGAGTGGTTAGGGGGTGATAAGGCTGACAGGCAGAAGCAGTTAGGGGTAATCAGGAAGAAAAGCAGGCAAGCAGTTAGTAGCCAGCAGTCTTAGATTGTGAGAGGGATATTTGACTGACCATTTAGGTTCACCAGGATAGGGCCTAAATGGGCAGCTGGACACCCCTTGAGGCATCCCAGATTGGAGAGAGAGCAGGCTGGGCTGTCTTGTGTCTTGCATGAATTATTTTTATAATAGAATAAAATAATAAATACTACCTTTTAATGCAAATAACCTATCAGATCGGGTATCCTGCTCATTTTTGTAATCCTCAGTATGTGGAATCTTATTTTTAATTGTAAATTATATAGGGACTTTAGATTTTATCTTTGCAGTTAGTATTTTCTTACTAATTTAATTTAAAGAAAAGATTTCCTGCCTTTGACTATTACTATAATTAAACTGGAATTTGAATGTGAAAGAAAAAAAACAGTAAAAAGGGATTCTAAATCCTCAGGGTTCACATGATGGGTAAGTAAATTTATCACAATAAATCTGCAAGAACCTACTTCAATTAACTTTTTGGGGAGAGGAGTTTCTTTTTTTCCTTTTATTAAAAAAAAATAAAATGGTGCAAGACAGTGACAAAACCAAATGCTGACAAGGATGTAGGGGAACTACATCATGTATATGTTGCTGATGGGAATGTACAATGGAACCACCACTCTGGAATACAGTTTGTCAGTTTCTTCAAGTCCTAAGTCTATATTTATATATAACCCAGTAGTTGTACTTGTATGCATTTATCCAGAGAAAGGAAGACTATGCTCACATAAAAAAACTGCACATCATTGTTTATAACAATGTTATTAGCAATAGCCAAAAACAATTGCAAACAACCAAGACATCCTATAGAAGGTAGATGGTTAAACAAGGTGTGATATACCCATACCACTGAATATTATTGATAGAGAGAGGTATTGCTATATGATGCTGTGCATTGATAGATCTCAAAGGCATTGAGCTGAGTGAAGAAAAAAAGAAAGCGAGTCTCAAAAGGTTACATGTTTTTATAAAACATTTTTGAAATGACAAAGTATTGATATGGAACACAAAGTGTGCTTGCCAGGTTAGGGATAGTAAGGGGGATCGTGACTATAAAAGGGTGGCATAAGGGAGATATTTGTGTTAATGAAATAGTTCTATATTCTAATTGTGGCGGTCATTACAAAAATGTATACATGTGATAAAAAGAAAAGAAATATATACACCTTATACCATTGTAAACTGACTACTTTTGACATATAACTACTGTTACATAAAATATAACCACTAGATGAAGCTGATTAAGAGTACAAAGCACCTCTCTGTTCAATCTTTGAAACTTCCCATGATTCTATAACTATTTCAAAAATTAAAAATGGGTGCACAACCAAAGGTCTGAGACCTCTGGTAGAATCTTCTAAATTCTCTACAACAAAAGACCACCCTCACATTTTAATGGCCCCAACGGTAAACATAGTTCTTATTTTATCAGGGGACTTGGAATTCCAAGATGAAACAATCACACAGAAAATTACAAACTTTGTCGTTATCCCAGACATTGGTATTCCTTTCCCATCCATCTTCATCCCATCTCCTGGCCTTTACTTTGAGTTTATAATTCTCCTCTCAGTGACCTATACTCTTCTCCAAAATCACCCTCCCTCATGTGAGTTAATGAAATGTCCAATGGAGGAGAGATTTGTGAGCAGAAAAGCTTTCCAAATTCTGCTCTTAACAATCTCCTGCCTATGCTGCACCACTCAGACACCCCTCTTGTGACACCCCAGGCTATACACCTCTGTACTCACTTTGTAAAATAAACATTCCAGGAACACAACAAACATTTGCAAAGTACTATGGTTTAAATAGGACTTGTAACCAAAGTTGCTTGTTAAACTGGAGAATACATAAAGCAGGAATCTATTTTCACCCATTCTATTTTTTAATTTTTATTTTTTAATATATTTTTATTGATTTCAGAGAGGAAGGGAGAGGAAGAGATAGAAACATCAATGATGAGAGAGTATCGTTGATCTCATTGATCAGCTGAGTCCTACATGCCCCCTACTGGGGTTTGAGCCCACAATCCTAGCATGTGCCCTTGAAAGGAATCGAACCTGGGACCTTCCAGTCTGTAGTCCAATGCTCTATCCACTGGGCCTAACCAGCTAGGGCTTCATCCCCATTTTCAGAGATGAGATAACTTGGACCCAGTGAAGTAACTTTTCATGTTCAATAGAGATAAATAGTTAAGTTACAGAATAGGGGATATAACCAAATCTCCTGATTCCTAATCCTAAGCAATGTCAAAATATTCCATCCGAATTAACACCCCATTCCCAATCTGGTAATAGACATTTCATAACAGGAAACACTAGCACAAATAGAAGGCAAATAGTTGGTTCAATTGAATGGTCTGATCTCATCTAAAGCAGAGGCTCTCAAAGGCTTGCCTAATCCTGAAAGCAGTAATGTGTCTAGTGGATCTAAATAGAGCTTTCAAAAAAGAAAGTCAGTATGCACCTGTAGGTGGTTAAAGTAATCAGCTGGCATGGCAAGGACTAGAAAAGAAAGCAGATTGTTTACTTCAGCTAGCTTTACTGCTTTATGCAACTCACCACCCAAGTCTGTGAAGAAAGGAACAATCATGGTGCTATAACCAAGGCTGAATTCAAATTAATTCTATTGGATCCCTAACCCTCCCACATCTTGGCCAAGAAAAAGAACACCATAGCAAGGCTGAACACAGAAAGCTCAAGAAAACATCATTGTAACCTCATTTTTAATCTGCAATTCTCCTCTAATCTATTCTTTCCAGCTGAGCATAGCTGGGACTTTTCACCCTTGACCAATATGCAGGCAATAATTTTTTTTTTTTAAAGCTACATAACAGGAAAGATCATGGAAAATTAATCACATGAAAGACAGTACTTCTGAGAGCAGCAAACAGAAATGCAGATTAAATGACGCCAGGACTCCTCACCCCAACAGAACAGTTTTCAGATTAAAAGACTGAGAACCTGACAATACATAAACAACAAACAGCAAAGGAGTTTTACTAGGAAAAGTAGAAGAGCTAATAAAACTCATGATCTTAAAGCTGCTGAATTACATAATCATTTATTAGTCATAACCTACTTTTTGATTCAAAGAGTTCCTAGCCACATTGTGCCTAGTTTCTAATAGGATCAGGTTACTGCAGGACAAATAAAAGGGAAGATTATAAAATTCTTACCAACACGATATTTTAGTTCTATGGTGGTTTCGCCTTCTCTAGTTAATTCTGTTACTTCACATGTGTAGTTTCCTGGGACAGCTTGGGACTTGTCCATCTTCAAAGAGGCAATGCCACTTAGTAGTGCTTCTGGAACGATGTATGCACTTGAGAAGGTGCTATTGATGGGCTTGGATTCATTTTTCTCTCCATTATAGGAGAAAAAGTTTATGTCTCTGAACTTCCACTTTACAAACATTTCTCTCAGGCTCTTTGCCTCCACATTATTAACGATACATGGAATTACAACAGTTTGATTGCAAGTGGTGTAGTCTACAAATTTGGTTATATTAAATATTAGCTGAGCTGAACCTGGAAAAGAAAAAGAAAATAGTTTCATGTCATTATAGAATTCTATAGCATAAGACCTTAGGAATGTTACAAATCCTTAAGATAAAAGAGCAAGGTTTTAATTGTCTCCTTAAGTTAGCAGTGCAACTATAGAGAAGGCCAACCAGGTGAAGAAGAGAAACAATTTATTTTAATATTAAGATGAGCAGATGGTAGACACCACAGTAACTTTTCCTTATTCATTTTCAGTAATACAAGGAACATGCAGATGTAGAATTTGGCATCAGAAGCTTTGAAGTCATCATTGTTGCTCACTGATATTCATAGAAAAATATTTTCCTTACCATGGGAAATTTTGAACAGAAAATCAAACCAAATATTATATTCAGTCTCAACTTCTATATACTGCCTCTAAACAGAACTTGCTAAACCCATATGAAGAGTATCTCTATCTTTAAGGTGCATTTCCAAGCTATACTGGACTTCAATATAAAAAGTAAATAGGATAAACCACATCACATCTTTCCTCTAAGATAGAAAGTCTTAGAATGCTAAGGAGAAAAAATATTCTCTGTGGCTATTTCCCATTGCAATATACATTCAGCATGCAAATATTATAAAGAATTATATACAACTGAAATGCACTTTCTCACTCCCGAATTTCATTGAAACTATAGAACAATTTTCAAATGCATATTATAGGTATTCCTTCTTCCTAAAAACCATAAACCACTCAAAATAAAGCTAAGAAACAAGTTGAAGACAAGAATATATACTGCTAATAAATACAGTATATTCTATTAAACACTTCTCTATAGGATAAACTACCAGTTGTCTTACAAAATAGGAATTAGGAAGGTAAATGCAATCACTCATCTTCCATCTAATATGTTTAAAATTGTGGAGAAATTATAGTTTCTTCCCATATTTTTCGGCCATTTATCAACTATTTTATCTAGGTAGTTAGTTGGACTTTCCCTGAAAACAAAACAAAACACAAAGCACTAACAAAGAGAAATATCAGTTTTAATAGTTCATCCTTACAGTTCTTTCTTCTAAATAAACTGGGAATAAAATTCAGGGGCTTAGGATGTTATTTTCTAGGAACATAGTATTTGGTAAATGCCCATTTAATTGAATGCTAGGATGCATAGTGAAATAGGAACTGGACAATGTGCAGAGAGCCTGAGTATAAATTCTACCTGTCACTTGTCAGTATGTGACCTTAAGCAATTCACATCACTTTTCTATGCCTCAGTTTACTATCTGCAAGTAAAGGATCAGAAATGAACACCAAACTACTTCACAGAATTATGGCAAGTATCAAAGGAGCAAATACATGGACAAGTGCCCTCTATTATAGAATATCTGATTCTATAAGGACTGTGCCTTTCACTGTTTGATTGTGCTATACATATGCAGGTAAAACTCTAAAAACTAGGCAAAAGAGCATTTTTATGCAATGATCTAGACCAAGCATGTCAAACTCATGGCCCATAACAAATATTTTTGTGACCCAGTCAATATAACAATATGTATGTTTTAATAAAAATTTTGTAACTTAGTTTTTACGATATTGTTTTATACACAACTAGAAGCCTGGTACATGAAATTCATGCATGGGCAGGGACCCTAGGTCTGGCCGGCAATCAGTGCGGATCGGGGCCTTCCTTCCCTGGCTGCCGACCAGGGCCTTCCTTCATTCCGCACCACCCACTGGTGGTCAGTGCATGTCATAGTGAGTGGTCAAACTTCCAGTGGTTTGAACTCCTGAAGGGACAATTTGCAGATTAGCCTTTTATTATAGGATTCTTAATAATAAATTATAATGTTTGCTAGTAACTGGTTACTATAATGGTGTTGCATTCATTTCCCTCAAGCACCTTATGCGCAGGTGCACCATTTCTCTCCACTAATACTAGCAGCGAATATTTTAGCAGCCTATTGACACGTCATTAGTCTTGTACTGACTTGTTTGGTGTACAAAACAGGAAATATTTCACTTTCAGAGAACAAGAAAAATAGGTTTATTTTCAGTACGCTTATTGATTTCCAAATGACTTACCAGCAGTTACGCAGTGTCTGGTAAGTTAATGTTAAAAAAAAAAAAAAAAACATTAATTTTTATTAAAATGTTCTATTATTTTATGTTAACAATTACTCATTCATTTTAGCCCTTTGTATTCAGCATGTCTCTACTGAAATAAACCTACAATTCTATGAAAATTGAAGCTTGTGTTAGTTTGCAGCTCACATAAACTTAAACCTTATTTATTTGGCCTGTGTTAGCCTTTGGGTTTAACTTGCTTGATCTAGACCTTCTCTGACTTGGGGGGGGGGGGTGCAAATTGATATGTATAAGGGAATTTTCAGTCTGAACCAAAATTGTGGTTCACAAGCTCACTTCTTCTCAGTTCTCTACACTTCTAACCATCCTAGTAGGCTACCCCAGGCAAAAGCTGAACTTCCAATTGCGTTTTTTTTAAACCTTAGGGTTATGAATTATTTCCCCTGAGAAAGAAGCATTGAGGGTGAGGCTTTTGTATACAAGGAGAGAAAACGTGGTTTTGATGTTGGAATTAGAAAAGAAGAAAAGTGTTAGAAAATATGATGCACAATTTTGAAATGAACAAAAGGATTACTGAGTGTCCTTTCAGTGAAACACTGGGATTGTCTTACAAATCCTTTGGGGATATCTGATTCTATAAGGACTGTGCCTTTCACTGTGCTTGACTGAGCTATTTTATAATTTTATAGATTGTAGAAAACTGAGAGTAATGCAAATGATTCATGTCCATAGAGAGAGAAATGTTGTTGTGCAATTTATTTCCACCTGGAAAAAGAGAGGACTTTAAGGATTTTTTTGGTTGTTTGTTTTCTTTTTTAATTTTCATACTTTATTTTTTAATTTTTATTATTAAAAGTATTACATATGTCCCTCTTTCTCCATTGTTGACCCCTTCTAGCCAACTCCCACCCAAGCCTTCACCACCCTATTGTCTGTGTCCATGTGTTATGCATTTATACATACAAGTACCTTGGTTGATATGGAAGACAGAATTTTTTTTAAATTACATGTTACTGCCCTAAGGATGTTGACCAATTGCAAATATTCACTAATTCATTACAGCTTTCCTGGTTGCCAATACATATGTTTTTCCTTCCAACTTTATTTAAAAGCCAAGATGGTCTTACCATCCTGCTAATTTGCTTATTAATACATGAATTAATAACACATGATCATTTTATATTTAAGTCAAGATATTTTTTCTAAAAATTATCCTTTAATAAAAGATACAAGTGAAGTTTATTCTAGTAAAGTGTTTAAAATGCTCTTGGTAAGTAAAAAGTGGTTGGTAAACACTCAATAATTTCACAACTTATGCTTAGAGAATGGATTTCCAACAGAATACAGGAAGAACTAATTGCCCTGCCTTATTTGCTGTAACATGCAAAATCTTATAGCTAAAGCCATTTAAAAACTAGTCAAATTAGTGTTGGTAATAAAATTAAAATAAAATTGACCTGGAAAAACCATAACTCGAATAGCCCTTGCACAATCTATACTAATAAAAGGGTAATATGCAAATTGGTCATGATGCTCTTACAGTAACAACCAAACAGCAGGCTACATGGGGTGACAAGGCCAACAGGGGGGTTAGTGCAACACAAACAAACAACTGGCCAGCAGGCTGTGTGGAGCAACCAGGCTGGCATGGGGGGTTAGCAAGACAGGATCAAATGACTAACCAGCAGACTGTGTGGGTGACCAGGCTAGCAAAGGGAGGCAACCAGGGGTAAACAGGCCAGCAGAGGGAGACAGTTGGGGGTGACCAGGCAGACAGGGCAGCAGTTGGGTGTGACCAGGCCAGTGGGGCAGCAGTTGGGGGGAACCAGGCTGGCAGGGCAGGCAATGAGGGGCAACGAGGCTGGCAGGGGGTGCAGTGAAGGGCAACCAGGCCAGCACGGGGGGCAGTTAAGGGCAATCAGTCTGGCAGGCAGAGGGGTTAGGGGTGATAAGGCTGGCAGGGGGGAAGTTACGGGTGATCAGGTAAGCAAGCAGGTGAGCACTTAAGACCCAGTGGTCCCAGATTGTGAGAGGGATATCCGACTGCAGGTTTTGGCCCGATCCTTGGGATTGGGCAGAAACCAGCAGTCGAACATCCCCTGAGGGGTCCCAGATTGGAGAGGCAGTTGGGCCAAATTTTTTGCACTTGGTCTCTAGTCTATCTAATAAAAGAGTAATATGCAAACAAACCACCAGCCAATCAAGAGCAAATATGCAAATAAACCCAACCAAAGTGGCTATGGCCACAGAGAGCAAGAGGGAGGCTTGGGTTTCCCTGGCAATGGAGGAAGCCAAGCTTTCTGCCTGCCCTTGCTGGCCTAGGCCTCCACTCGGCTACAAAGTTTCAATGATAGAAGATACACAAATCCAAACAGAAATGGTGTCAGCCAGAGTTGGAAAGAGCAGGAGGCTAGGGTTGCCCCCGGCAATGGAGGAAGCCAAGCTTTCCACACACCCTGGCCAGCTCAGGCCTGTGCTTAAGACTATAAAGTTTCAATTATAGAAGATACATAAGTCCCAACAGAAATGGCTGCCACCACAGAGCAAGCAGAAGGCAAGGCTCTGCTCCAGGCTACAAAGTTTCAATTGTAGAAGATAAATAAACCGCAGATACCAGGGCCTCTGCTTGGGTCGCCAGGGTGTGAGGCTGGCCTGCAAACAACCACAGGCCCCTCACCCAGGCCGCCCCATGCCCCCAAGGAAACCCCCACCCTGATCCTTCAGGGAAAACCAGCCAGCCCCCACCTATGCACCAGGCCTCTATCCTATCTAATAAAAGAGTAATATGCAGATTGTAATAGTCATCATTCCAACACACAAAATGGCTATCCCTATATGGTCAAATATGGTTGCCCCCATGTGGACACAAAATGGCCACCACAAGATGGCCAACAAGGCAGGGCCGTTGGGAAGGACCGGCCCTGCAAGGGAGGGCAGTTGGGGGCGATCAAGC